TGATCACCCTCCTTCAGGGACGAATCCAGGTAAAGCCCCCAGATGTCTTTGACCAACACAGCACAGGCCTGGCACAAGCTGCTCTTGTCGCCAGCCTCCTTGGGTCAGTGGAGGCTATGGACTTCCCTCTCGTCCTGACAGTGGACTTCTGAGACAGCAGCTCTGGTGACACCTGAGGATCAGTTGCTTCTTGTGGCATTTTTCTGTTCTGCCCTCAGGCTGGCACAGAGCACCAGCATGTAGCATGTTGCCAGGCTTCTCAACACTCCACGAAGCAGGCAGGTGTCCAATTTGACAACTGAAAGTACTGAGGCTCATCAATCACAGACTGGAAGTTGGGTTCACCTAACTACAGGCAGTGGTGGAATTAGGCTGGAGCTGCTGACTCAAGAGTTCAGGCCTTGGATCATTGAGCATGCTGCCAAGCTGTGGGGAGGAGAGCTGCCCAGAACCACACCACCCACAGGACACACTGACCACGCACCCTCCACTTACCTTTCCCAGACTGGGCTGCCAGGATCTGAACAAGATGGTTTGTCCTGTCAAGATCTGGGCTGGAACCCTGCTAGCCAGGCCAGCACAAAGGTGCCTGACTGTCCGTGTGCTCTGTCCACTGCCTATCCCTCTCAGAGTGCACAAGGGGCAACTGAAGCCCGGAGGAGCGCAGTGGTAGCAGGCTGCTCATGTGTGGAAAGCCCACAGCTTCGGCCATCACAGTCCCATCTCAGCACTCTAATGAACCCATCTTTGAATTCCCCCCATTTTTCTGAGCAGGAAGCTCAGTTTCATGATTTGCCCAAGGTTACACAGCTTGAAACTGAAGATGCTGAGATTTGAACCCAAGAGTTTGCCCCTGGCTCTGGAGCCTGCTATGGATTCTAACAGCTCTGCCTCTGTTGGCCAGGCCTGAGCGAGTGTCCTGTGGTGCTCCACATAGTTCTACAATCAGCTGAGAGGAGAAGAAACAGTCCTGGTGTCTACCAAGGGTTAATGGTGATAGGAGCTAAGTGATTCCAGATGGACCAGTGGGCAGCTGGGCTGGCCGGAAATGGCAGCCGCCAACTTCCCAGGGGAGCCACCACCAGCCACCCCCTCCCCTCTGTGCTGCATCTCTGGCCCCCAGCTGTCCCCTCCCCTAGGGCTTGCCAGCCTCTCCCCCGCCCCAGAGTCTAGCTGCAAGGCAAACTGCTGCAGAACAAGCCAAGGGCCTTGCAGCACAGAGAATCCAACCCTGTTATGGACAGATGGGGAAACTGAGGTAGGACAAGGGACCCCTCTAACAGCTAACAGAACTAGCTCCTCTGGAAACTAGGGGGTTGGGACACTTCCTTTCTGGAAGGCATATTGTTGCAGCCAGTATTCCAGGGGCTAGAGGGGAGTGGCCAAGGAAAATAGTAGGAAAGACATGTTAATATCTTTCTTTTTGCCATCCTTCTCTTTTCTTTTTTTCAGTTTTGGGAATTGAAGTTAAACCAATACAACACTGATACTCACAAGACAATGTGTTGGAAATGAACTTTACAACCTGAGGCGGGGGAGTTGGGGGGAGAGAAAGTAGGAGAAAATGAGGGAGGGGGTAACAAGTTTGACAAGAAATGTACTCATTACCTTACTTATGTAACTGTAACCCCTCTGCACATCACTTTGACAATAAAATTAAATATTTTTTAAAAGAGTTATAATTTCTGGTGGAATCTTTGACATAAGAACTCCTATGTCTACTTGCCTTGCATGCATGAGGCCCTCAGTTTGATTCCTCAGTACCACATAAGCAGAAATACCCAGAAGTGGGGCTGAGGCTCAGGTGGTAGAGCGCTGGTCTACAGCTGAAGAGCTGAGGGACAGCGCCCAGGCCCAGAATTCAGGCCCCACAACCAACCGAAAGAAAAAAAAAAAGAACTCATGTCAGCCGGGCACTGGTGAATTCAGCCTGGGCAGCAAAACCCATGAGACTCTTATCTCCAATTAACCAACAAAAAGCTGGAAGTGGAGCTGTGGCTCAAGTGCTGGAGTGCCAGCCTTAAACAGAAAAAGCTAAGTAATAACATGCCAGATCCTAGCCCTGGGTTTAAACCCCAGGACTGGCACCAAAAACAAAAGAGAAAAAAGTACTTTGTGGCTCTGACCTTAGGAATTGTGGGATCACTCCATCTTTTTTTTTTTTGTCAGTCATGGGGCTTAAACTCTGGGCCTTGGTGCTGTCCCTCAGCTCTTCAGCTCAAGGCAAGCGCTCTACCGCTTGAGCCACAGTGCCACTTCCAGTTTTCTAGTGGTTTATTAGAGATAAGAGTCTCACGGACTTTCCTGCCTGGGCTGGCTTTGAACTGTGATCCTCAGATCTCAGCCTCCTGAGTAGCTAGGATTAAAGGCGTGAGCCACCGGCGCCTGGCTGATCACTCCATCTTTACTACCACAAACCCTGGATGAACCCCCTCCTGGTATATTCTGCTCCCTCTGAGAACCTGTCCTCTATGTATCCCAACCCAGACATTCCACTGGCCAATTCTTACTGAGACCAAGAAATGATGGAAAGACAAACTATTACAGTTTACCTGGGATCTCAGCTCAACCAAATAATTGTCCCTGTTTCAAGAAGAGTGGTTTTGGTGGACTAGGGAGGTACATGGCGGGAGGAGGGCAGGTCCAGGCTGGTAAAGCCTGTGTGATCTAAAATACTCTTCTTCACCCTGCCCTGCCCCAGAAGGAAATTCCACCACCCCAGTGTGCAAAGTTGTGTGTCAGAGGTATCTCAGCTCAGTCCTTCCAGCCCTTTGGAAGCAATAGCCCTTGAAGTCTCTGATGAGCAGGAATCTCCAGACCCGAGGAGGAAGAGGTGAAAGAGAAGGCCAGGGGCTCTGGGAAAGGCTCGGGTGAGGGTAAGAAGAACAAAAGACAAGCTAGACTATCACATACACCAGAAAATACTTTGCTGAGTGACCAAAAGAAAGAGCCACAGGCATAGGCCTATGCTGGAGTGGAGATCTGGGATGAAGGCAAAGGAAGACCAATACCCCTTTAATCATGTGACATACAAGGTCTGCTCTGCTCCAGTCCTGCCATTGCTGGGTGTGTCCGGGAAGCTCACGACATGCTCTTCTGAGCCTGTTTCCTTGCTCTAAAGCAAGTCAAGCTTGGTGGCTGGTGGCTTGTACCTGTAATCCTAACTCTCAGGAGGCTGAGAAAAGTCTATGAGACTCTAATCTCCAATTAACCAGAAAAGAAGAGCTGGAAGTAGAGGTATGGCTCAATTCCCACTGTGCAGAAAAAAGCCAACTGAGAACAAAAGGCCTTGAGTTCAAGCCCCAGGACTAGCATAACAATAATAATCACAACAACAATGGGTGAAATCATCCATTTGCAAGGGTTTTGAGATGGTGCAAGGAAAATGTGCTGGGTGACCCTGAAGTGAATTGCTTCCCTTCTCTGTGCCAATCCACCTTCTTGGAGGGTCTCTTATTTCTTCTATATCATCTCTTCTTCGAAGAGAGGGCAGAACTCTGAGAGATCCCAACAGACTTGATTCTGTCAACACTGCTGGGAGCACCCAGTCAGACATGTGAGTGATGACAAAGGCAGAAAGGGATTTCTATCTTCAGTGTGGTCACACGGGGAAGCAATGGAGACCAGGTCTGAAGACCCATCTTGGGGCTACTGACAAGAGCTTTAGAGTTGTAGAGAGGGAGAGTTTAGGAGAAGGGCAAGAAGTTTACATAGTCAGGTAGTCTGTTTAACCCCTGGGTCCAACTGAGATCAGGCTGTCTGATTCTCAGGGGTCCTCTGCTTCCAGGGAGGATTTCAGATCCCATCTTGAGACAGTCGCTCCCATTTGAGGGCACGCCATGATTCCGGTCCTCTGCCTGCAAAATGTTTCTGGAATCTAAAAAATATCTCACTTATTTTTCTCAAATTATCTATTTTTTCAAGACACGGCCTTGCTACGAGTCCCAGGCTGGCCTTGAACTCTCAGTCATCCTATCCAGCGGTAGGTACCACCCCATGTGGCTTCTTATTTTATCTTGATGTCTTCCGCATTGGAAGGAGTAGAAAGGCATACTAGGTAAAACTAGGGCTCATCAACCTTGTCCTGCCAATCACTCCTTTCTGAGGGAGAGGGGGATTTCTTCTACCAAGGGCCATCTGGGTGTTTATAACATCATTCGCAGGTCACACAAGCAGATGAGCCCTGGGAAGCCAAGGAGAGCTGATAAGAAGCACATGTGCTTGTCCTGTCAGGTAGCAAGTGATTTCTCAAGTCCGATATGGCCTGTGGGCCAGCAGTTTCCTTAGATGATTAACAACCATGAGCAGAGTTGACCGGGAATCTAACCCAAAGTTTAAGGCAGTGACAAGTCCAACAGCAGTGGGTGCTGTTAGCAAAGCAGCCTTAAATTCCCTGTGGCTGAAGTGCCATTTGATCCCCTGTGGGTCCTTACAGCTATTCACCTAAATTCCCTGCCAGGCCCCTGCCCTCTTGCTGGTGCCTGCTTCCCCCCTGAATGTCCTATAAGACCTGCTTACCACAAGGTGTCTTACTACATGTCTAACATGTAGTAACTGTTCAGAGAGTATGGATGCTGGCTGAATTACCGTGTGCATCCCTGAAGCTTCCTCAATGGATGGGGAAACTGAGGCACAGAGAAAGGACCTCCCTTCCTCCCCGGTTCCATGGCCAGGGACCAGGGCCACCGAAGACAGACATCAGACAAATGAGGCTGGGCTAACTCTTTAATGAAGTTGACTCAGTGGCTGGCTGGTGTGGGTGGTGGAATTTCTAAACATCCCTTCACATCCTGAGCGAGCAGGCGACGGGAGGGAGCAGCAGCGGGAAAGGAGGAAGAAAAACAAGAAACTTGGGGGAAAAAAAAGAGAGGGGGGGGAATACTGAAATTGAAAACAGACGCACGCGTCCACCCTCCCTGCCCACCCCTCCCCTTCTCCCAGCCAGGCCAATCAGAAGCCGCCCTGCAGCCTTTCCCCCAAAGTGGGGGGTGGGGGCGGGAAGCCCTCGCCCTGCGGGCTGCGGGGATCTGCGGGGCGCCGCCGCACTCCGGGCCCGTGAGCGGGAGTCTGGGACTAAGGATCTCTCCATAGAGCAACTCAGAGCCACAGCAGAGGGGACGCAGGAGGAGAGAGCCAGACCAGACGCCGGCAGCAGCCCCGCGGCTGCCCCGACGCAGACGGCCAGACCCAGGGCGGCCCCTCCTGGCCGCGCTGCTCCTCCCGAAGGATGCTTCAGGGGTGAGGCGAGGTCGGAGCCGTGAGCCCTCCCTTGGGCGCGCCCCTCGGTTCCTCGGAGTCTTCCTGGAGCTTGCAAGGGTCCAACTTGCCCTTCTACTCGGCCGTCACTGACGTGGGGTCCAGCGAGGTCCTTCTGGTCCTGGGGAGAGGGCAGTAGAAGGACTTCCTGGAAGAGGTGACAGCCCCATAGCTTGGGACTGTACCAGAAGCCAGCCACCGCCGCCCCGCAGCCAGGTAAGCACGGGAAAGCGGAGGGCCACCCAGATTCCTCCTGCTTCAGCCTGCACCGCTTGGAGTAGAGAAAAGAACACTTTTTTTTTTTTTAAGAAAATCAGATGGGAGATGTAAGGGCCCGAGGAGCCAGTTCCCTCCTCCTCCAGGGTAGGTGGCTTGGCCTCCCTCCCTAACTAGCTACCCCATTACTCTCTTTTAGAGAGAAACAGAAATGTCTGGGCTGTCAAGGCATAACATGGTCTACGGGGTTTGGGGGGAGAGCTGGAAGGGACAGGGGAAGGAGCCCAGAGAAGGCAAGAAGGGAATCCAGAAAGGAACTTAGCTAGGGACTGGGACCAAAAGGCCAGACATAGCCCCCTTTCCTTGATTCGCGCCTTGTTCCTAAGAGTCAGTCTGGCCCTGGGCCAGTCAACTGCCAGGCAACCTTTGGCGATTTAAATGGATTTGCAAATTTTCCAGATTCCTAAGATATCCTTCCAAACCCCCAGCCACTGGGAAAGTTCTGGGTCAGAAAGTTCTGGGTGGAGAAGGGTGTGACAATTAGGCTAGCGGTAGTACACTGGGCCTGGACATAGGGAATCAATCTGGTCTGTCAACTCTAGGGTCTTCTCTGGGAAGAGGGGTTGTGACCTCACCGTTTCTTTCTGCCTAAGCAGCTCTTAGTCTCCTGGCTCTCCTCCTTCTGGACTGGCCCCTTCTTAACTAGGTCGCAAATCAGAGTCTGTTTACACTGCCTGCCCTGCCCAGAGCCCTCGGTGGCTCCCCAGGGCCTGTAGCCACTGGTCCACTCTACCAGAGGGCCAGCATGGGGGCAGCATTGAGAAGACTCACCTGCCTCAGGGCAGAGGTGTGTGGCAGAGTGTTTCTGCCTTGGCTTTCACCAATGGCACACTGTAAGTGGTAGAACCCATAGTGGGTCTAAGCTCCTACTCTGCCAGTGCCCCAGGATTAAGTTTTTGTGTCAGACAAATACAGGATCTGCAGAGGGAATTTGCACCATCCTATCTGCGGGTATTTGTTCTCTACTTACCCCTGCCTGGAATGCCCTATCTCATCCCTTCTTTTTTTCTCTCCAGGGGCCTCCCAACTCTCCTCTTCCAAGCAGTCTTCCTGAGTCCCCCCAATATTCCAGGTCCCTTCCATGCTCTTCATGCTAGGCCCTTGTTACTTGGTCCTCTTTATTCTGTTTGTCAAAATCAAAATTAGTCAGGCCTAAGTGTGTGTGTGTTTAAAAAATATTGTTTTATTTGTTATTGTAAAGGTGATATACAGAGTGGTTACACTTACATAAGTCAAGAAATACATTTCTTTTTGGACAGTGTCACCCCTTTCCTCACTGTCTCTCAGTTTTTACTTGTTGTCCCCACCTACAAGTTGTATAGCTCATTTTCAACATAGTGTAGAGAGTACCACTGCTGCATTTGTTCACCCTCTGTCCCTCTACTTCTGTGCCTCCCCTTACCCTCCCCAAAGAAGATAAATGGATAAACAAGACCAAAAAAATAAAAAAGAAACAAAAACAACAATGAATTAATAAACCTCTTGTGTGGCCCAGGTTTTTTACTGTCTTGAGTTCTGGCCCCAGTGCCCAACACTGGGTGGAGACTATGGAGGGCTGATAGGAGGAGGGACTTACCAAAGACCCTCTGTTCAGGTCTCCTGCCCTCCTGTATATTTCTATCTCAAGCTGGAAGGAGCATCCCTGCTTGTCACTGCAACCCCCCAGTGCGCACAATATCCCCCAGGATCTTCTAAAGAGGTCTTGAATCTGTAGCCAGGCAGGGGTATGTATGGTGGTCCCAGCACTGACTAGCCCCACCCCATGGAGGCATTGAGTCTGGTACTGCCCCCTACCCACCTTAGAATCCAGGCTGTTGTTGCCTCTGTTTTGCAAATGAGGAAATTGGGGTTTGGAGCCGCTAAGAGACTTTCCAGGCTCAACACAGTTAGAGTTGGCATTTAGGCAAAGTTTGCCTGAACTTAAAGGTTTAACCCTGTGTTATCCTGGGAGCTCCTGGTCAGTGGGATCACTGTTTTTCCACAGAGCTGGCTCCTGACTTCACATTGTCCCCAAGAGAAAGTGACCACCCTCAACCCTGGCTGGCTGTGAAGGCACCAAGGCTCTGTCTCAGAGACTACCACCTTCCTTTTGATGGTTATCAGCAGCCCTCCCTCTGTGGGAAGAAGAGCTGGGTTGTAATTGTCTGCAGATGTGAAAACACGGTGGATTCAGAGTCAGGAGCTCAGTGCTGGGCCTGCCTTCATGCACAGACACCGTGGGGCCAGCCCCAGGCCTCCTTGTCCCCTCCCTGAACTGCTGCGTGCTCAGAGGTAGTGTGTTCTGTGGATAAACCACACTGGGCTTGAGCATCCGCTGGCATGCCTTAACTTCTGACTCGCCTGCTGGCTGCTTGTCACCCTCAGTCACACTTTGCATCTTTGAGTGGGCCTCAGTCTGTCTCTGAGCCTCAGGAATCCTGTGCTACTTAGGGTGGACCTGGGGCCATGGGCTGGGCCAAGAGAAGGTTGATGGTCTTGCACAGACCACCAGGTGATGAAAAGCATCTGCAGCCCACAGAGACCTCTGTCCACAGGAGGAACCCAGATACTTCCTGCAAGACCAGTACACAGTCTGAGACAGCTGCCTTCCAGAAGGTACAAGAGAGGACTCTGGCATTTTGCTTAGGATAGGCTGGAGAGAGAGAAAGGAAGGAATGATAAGGTCTCAGGACATCCCAGACATTTCCCACTTATTTCTTGCAGGTGGTTCTGAATCCTGTGGGCAGTTGGTCCTTGGAATGGGATTTTTTTTTTCACAGTCTCTCCACTGGGGAGTAGAGGGGTAGGGAAGAAATGCTGCCCCAGGGACTAAGCTGTGACACCTCAGACAGTATAACAGGAACTAATTCTCACTGAGCACTTGCTCTGTGCGTTTTAATCATGTTTGTGTCCATTACCTCCCAGTTCATGGCTCTGTTCCTTAGCACTTAGGATGTGACAGGCATCCAGGAAGTTTTTAATAAATATGTAAATAATCCTATCATTCCAACAATGTCAAAGAGTAACTACACACTCTCCCCATTTTACTGATAAGGAAAGGCCCAGAGTTTCAAAGTTAGGCAGGGGAGGAGCGGTCCTGTGATATGACACTCGGTGGGGTGAGGATGTAGCATACATTCTGAAGTGGTACCTCAACTTTGGGGGCCCTCAATATTCCAGAGTGGGACATCAGTCCCTAAGTGTCACATGACTGTGGTCCTCAGTCTGCCTGTTAGTCAAATAAGGAGGGGGAACTGATGATGGCTAAGTTCCCTTCTAGTCCTAAAACAATTTCAGGATTCCAAGCTCCACCAGGCCAGATTGGCAGCCACACAAGCCAGGCTGTGTACTCAGGGATCATGCATATTTAACTTCACAGTGAAAGGGTTTTTCTTACGCTTTCTCAATGTAGTGCAGAAAGAGGTCAGGATCAATGACTGCTAATGGAAAACTTCAACCTGCTATCAGGAGGAGGAACTTTCTGACAGTTTGAGGGGCCCCTAGTATGTTCCATTTCCCAGACAGTGTGGAGGCCCTGTCCAGCAGAGTCCACAAGCCCATTTTCCTGGGGGTATAAATAAGCAAGGAAAGCAGCCCTGGCCCCAAAGTTCTCCCTCCTAAAGGTTTTCAAGGGCCCCCAGCAGAAGCACCAGGTGAAAATCGAAGTGCGCAGCTCTACCTGCATTACTACCTTCCTCCTCCCCTTGGAGAGCAGGGCTGTTTGATGTCTTGGGTGCTGAACCCTTTCATCTGCTCCTCATTCACCAGCTTCTCCGCCCTATGATGGACAGGGTTGTCCCTAGGGAGAACCAGAAGGTCAGGAAGTTCCCGAATGTTGGAGATGAAAAGGACTTTGAAGGCTGGGAAGGTGGCTCAGTGTACAGTGTTCGCCTTGCATGCCTGAGGCCCTGGGTTTGATTCCTCAGGACCACATAAGCAGAAAAAGCTGGAAGTGGTGCTGTGGCTCAAGGGGTAGAGCACTAGCCTTCAGCTGAAGAGCTGAGGGAGGGACAGCGCCCAGGCCCAGAGCTCAGGCCCCACAACTGACAAAAAAAGAAAAAGAAAAGGACTTTGAGGGTTACCTGGTTTGACTTCTCAATCATGTAGGTAGGAAATGGAAACGATGCCCCTCAAGCCATACAGATCGCAGGTGATGGTGCAGAGCCCAAGCTCACCTTTGAGCCACTTGTGTGCCATGCACCCCATCCCTCCATCCCCCAGCCCAGAGAAACACCCAAAGGGGCCAGATCCACCTCTGTTACCCAGGCCTTAGTCTCCAGTACTCACTGGGGTGATGCCAGGGGACAGATTTGGAAAAAGAGAAACAAAGCCATCTCAATGAAGGATGGGAAGCCCCGGGAAGTTTTCTGGACGATAAAACCATTAATCATATCCTTTCTCTATCAGGCTGTGGTTTCTTCTTATAAAAAAAGGAGGACAGGGGCAGGGGAGGCCTATACGCTCCGTCTTTAGCCCCTGGAAGTCCATGACACACTTCTTGTGGCTGCTATCCGCTCCCTCCCCGCCCCATCCTGTTGCTGCTCTGATTACTTTTTGTCTTGGAAAGTTGACCCTTCCCATCCCCAAGAGATCTTAGCCCATCAGATTCTCTACCCCTAAGGCTGAGCCTCAGAATAGGAGGCAGAGATTCCTGAAGGGACAGTGCTCAGCTTTGTAAACATGTCACAGAAATCCAAGTCCCCTCAGCTTAGAACACTGGACTTGAAGGTCATTGCTCAGGTTTGACCTGAGAGGCGGTCAGCTGCTCCCATCTCATTGTATCTTGTCTTATCAACTCCCAGCTTGGATGTATCTGCTGATTGCTTAGTGCAGTTGTGAATAGGCAAAAAAATGCATGGTATAATAGAGAAATAGCTTGGCACATAGATGAATGGATATGTGGATGGATGAGTGGATGGATGGATGGATGGGTGGATGGAAAGACAGATGGCCTTCTCTTT